AAAGAGAAAGACAAGCTCCGTGACCGGCCTCAGCTTTCCCAGACATGGGATCATCTGTGCGCACTCTGTTTAAGGTTGACCAGGGAATCTAGTCTGGGCTTTTGCATTTGTATCCAGCATCCCCTGAGCTGTGTGTTACCACTGTGCCAGTGGCCACCCCTATTTTTTCCTGCTTCAGGTTATGTTGTGGGCATTTTTCTATGTTATTAGCATTTTCCATAATTTTTTTGTTTTTATTTTTGCCACAGGGTGCATGTATTTGTCAGAAACAGACAGAGAGAGAGGGAGAAAGTGACAGCACATTTCCCATAGAGAATGGTCACACTGCAGTCCCTTCTCCTCCATTTCTCCCTCCCCTCAGGATTTTGGGCATGCTCACACGTGCACTGGGCATGCTTCTCAAACCGCTGGACCTGAGACCCAGATCATACAGTTGGCCATGTGGGATCCAGCTGCCATAACCACCATCCCATCGGCTGGCACTTTCATGAACTCCTTAATATCTATATAATATTTGGTCATTTAGATATAATCTTCATTTAACAAATTTATCCTGTTGGACATTTAAGTTGCTTATTTTTTACTATCATAAATTACTGATCTGTAGTAAACATCTTTGCACATCAGTTTTCTCCATTCCAGACTATTTCTTTAATATAAATACTTAGGAAGACTAACAGATGGCCTAATAGTCATGTTGCTGGACTCCCACATGGCCAACTATGGTTTGAGTCTCAGACCCAGTGACTTTAAAACTTACACTGGGCGTATGTGTGTGCATGCCCAAAATCCTGAGGGGAGAGTGGAGAAGAGAGGATTATGACATAGCCATTCCCCTGGGGGGTGATTTCTCGCTTTCTGTCTCTCTGTTTCTCTGGTGAGTGCATGTGCCCTATAGCAAAAATCTCTTTTAAAAAATATAAATTTAAAAAATAAATATATAGAGGCTGCAGGTGGCATGGTTATTAAGGATGCTGGATTCCCACATGGCCGACCACAGTTTGAGTCCCAGATGTGGCAGCTTACCTTCTCTCTTTCTCTTTCTCTCTTACTTGTTCCTGTCTGGTCAAATTAAAAATGAAACAAATAAAAAAAGTTAAATAAAATAATTCTTAAAATATATATGTGTGCGTGTATGTGTGTGTGTGTGTGTACATCCTTAGGAGTGTGAGAAAAGGAATCAAGGAGAAAAATAGAAAGGTAAAACGTTCATGCCACACAGAAATGGGTGCTTATCTGTTGTTGATAGTGTGTATAGTACCCTCAGCTGAACTGGTATGAAGTGTATTCATGTTAGGTAAATTCACCTTACAAGCTGTAGTGGGATATAACGATTAAATGTATAAAAGAAATTAAAAGAAAAAAATTTAAAAGGTAAATACTTAGGGTACTTCAAAGGATATAAACATATTTAATATTCTTGTTACATAGTATTGAGCTGTTTTCTGGAAAGGTAGTAGAGATATTCCTTAAATATCATTTAGGATTAGACTTAACTAAAAGATAATAGTGGTCTAAACAACATAGTTTATTTTTTTCTCTCATGTAAAACATCAGGAGTAAGCAGTAAAGGGTTGGCATGGTGATTCTGCAAAATAAGGATCCACATCTGTCCTCTGTCTTGCCATTCTGCCATCTATCTTTTTTTTTTTAAGAGAGATTTTTGCTTTAGGGTGTGTACACTCACCAGAGACACACAGAGAGAAAGTAGGGAAACACCCCCCACCGCCCCCAGCGAGGATGGCCACACCACAATTCCTTCTCCTCCATTTCTCCTCTTGGGATTTTGGGCACACACATACTCACACCCAGTGTGAGTTTCAAGTTACCAGGCCATGTGGGAATCCAGGGCCTTAACCACTACACCATCTGCTGGTCCCTACCATCCTGATCTTAACACTTAATGGTTCTCATTTCAAGATTTGCTTGTTTTTTAATTTGTTTAGGGTATGTGTGCTCCCCAGGGAGAGGCAGGGAGAGCAAAAAAGTGAGAAATCTCCCCTCGGGGGTTGCATGCCACAATCCTTTCTCCTCCATTCTCCACGTGGGATTTTTGACATGCGCACACATGCCCTGCATGTTTTTTAAGCCACTGGGTCTGGGACTCAAACCATACAACCACCTTAACCAAAATGCCACCTGGCTGGCCCCATTATAAGGTATTATGAAATCTGAAAAACAACCAGTAATAACTCATCTTTTTCCGCAAATCTTTCAGACACAGTGTAACTGACACCTCTCAGTCAAGGCTAGAATGCCAGACAATTGCTGATTACAATAAACTTCCTACTCAAATGTCTAGAGAGAGCCAACTCCCTGTGTAAGGTTGTCACAGAGGATTTGACCTGCCCCTCTGGCCAGCTGACATATCCACCATGTTGTACCATGGCCCACGCATGGATGCGAGAGTCACAAAGCTGCCAGGTACTGTTAGTAACTTGGAAATATGGCTTGGTTTGGTGTGTGTGATGCACATAGAGGAAACCAAAGCTGGTTGATTCTGCTGCAGAGCAGGGAAAGGGAGATGAGCACACTCCCTGTACAATGTGCATCTGTCATTGTTTTATTGTTTGGCAACACTTTCAAGCAATAGAGTGAAAAAACTACAAGTATATGGTTCATTTTTTTCCCTTTAATTGCCAGAGAGTATGTCCACTCACCAGAGAAAGAAAACACCCTTCCAGTGGGTATGGCCATGCCACAGTTCTTTTCCCTCTATTTCTGCATCCTTTCAGGATGTAGGGCATACACTAATACACACCCAGCATGTTTTTTCAAGCTGTCAGAGCCAGGATTTGAACACAGTTGGCCACCACGCTGGGTCCAGCACTCCAGCTGCACAATCAGCCATGTGAGATCTGGCTGCTTTAGCCACAGACCATGAAACTAGTCCCATTTTTTTCATTACTAAATTTTTTGTTTCTCAAGAAAGTTGATGGGACATGTGTAACTTGCATAAAATACCGGCGGACATTTACTATACATGGAGGCCATGGTGGTGTCGCTGACTATATGAGAACAAGAAAAGCCAGAGCAGGCCAGTGGTGTGGTGGTTAAGGCGGCCGTATTCCACATAACCGACTGTGCTGTTCATGTCCTGGACCCAGTGGCTTAAAAACCATGCCAGGCCTGTGTATGTGCATTGCTCATAAATCCCGAAAGGAAAAATGGAGAAGGGATGACAGTGTGGTCATTCCCCCTGGGGAGTGTTTCTCTCATTCCTCATCCCCACCCTAACTCTCTCCATGCACTATAACAAATTAAAAACAAAAACAAACAAACAAACAAAAAAACAAGAAAAGTCAAATCTGCTGAAAAAGTGTCAGGATCTATTTCAAAAGTTAATAATTAATTCAAGGAGACTTGGCTTGAAAATGATGATGTAATACATACAGCTGCAGACAGTAGGTATGCATACCACTCTGTGAAGCATAACTTTACACCAATGACTATTCTTCTAAGTTAATTTCACTTGTTCTTTAAAATTATTTTATTTAACTTTTGTTATTCATCTAGTTCCTTATGTATTTTCATTTGACCACAGAGGGACAAAGTGTGAGAGAGAGAAAGGGAAAGTGAGAAAGCAAGCTGCCAGGTCCGGGACTTAAACCACGGTCGGCCATGTGGGAGTCCAGCACCCTTAACCACCACACTATCTGTCAGCCCCTGATTTCACTCATTTTTAACTATAACTTTTTATGTACAGGTAGGAAGAGAAAAGCTATAGTTCTTATGCTTGTTTATTGGCTCCACTGATAGAATTTTGTGAACAATTAAATACTTCTAGTTTTAGTTCATTGTCAACAGGTATTTCAAACAATTAAATCATGCAAATTAATTCTAAAATTGGTGTGTGTGTGTGTGTGTGCATGTGTGTGTGTGTGTGTGTGTGTGTGTGTGTGTGTGTTTTCCTTTGCATTTGTCAACCTAAAAGGAAAGCTGAGACAAAGTAAGCAGAGGGAAAATAGTCTATCTGAGGGGGGGACCAGCAGTTAGTGTAATAGCTATGTCGCTGGA